GAAATTAGTAAAATTAAAAAATAAATTAACAAACAAATCAAAAGCTCACCATTGGCAAGATAGGGAAAGAACATAGGTTTTTTTTCTCGATTCTCATATGAAATTTTCTTGTAAAAGCTCTAAAATCGAAAAGCTCACCGTCGTCCTCACAATTTTCTGGTAAAATCTCACCGTGGATTCTCTTTAATTTTTTTTTCTCTCGTTTTGAATCTGAATTCTAGGTTATGTTGTTTTGTTTCTCTTTCATTTAAATCTGAATTCCTAATTGAAGATGCAGGTGAGTCGTGAGTAAGTGTTTTATTTAATTTTTCTTTTTGGTACACTGAAGTAAGTGTTGTCCACGTAGGCATTTGTCAACCAAGATGTAAAACTAGATGTCTCAGTAGCATTATTGTTTATCATTGAGGAATTTACACTGTATACCATCCGATATACTTTATATTACATTTATATACTTAATTGATATTTGTTTGTAAATATACAAAATTCACCCTACTTATTTGCATTTATACCAGATTTTAGTTTTGTTAATTATATCTTTTAAATATAGAAGGGAATAGATAATATTCATAATTAATCCCAATCCAAGAGAGAGAAAATGATTTCCCAAAGAGAGAAAGAGATGCACGAAAGGGAGATTCCATGGTGTACAGGGGCTACAACCGGATCGAGGGGCCATATCCCGCAGCGGTACGACTGGAGGCGGTCGCCGCCAGAGGCATTTTTCGCCAGCGGGGGACAACTGCCTGGAGCGGTGTCCGGCGAGGTCTGGGCTCTGCCTAAAATCGCAGAAGCCGGTGGCGATTTGCCGACAGGCATACGGTGGGAAGCCTTTCTTCATGAATTGTTTTATATTGCTCCGATTTAAAGGGCTCCCATGTGAATATACTGTCTGTAATTATTTGATGTACAGAATCATGAAACTGCTTGAAGTTTCACATTAATGTGCTTTCATCTCTGACTAATGGAGCCAAGTCCCTTGCTATTTTGGTTTATAGAAGATACGTTAAACGTTATATTTATGAGGGAGGGGATGAAATTCAGTTTTTGATTCGTCTTGTGTTGTTGTGAAGATCGATTCGATTTTTCGTGTAGAGGAAAGAAAATAATGCAATAAAAAATGGCTGCTACAGGTGAAATGAATGATTTTGATTTTGTCAATATTATTTTATTTTGATTTTTTTTCACTGGTCGCAGGAGTAAGAAATTGGCGATTAAATTTTCCTTGATCGTGGAAAATTCTCAACATTTTGATTATGATGTGATTAGTTGATTAGTCTCACTTTTTTAAACTGGTTTATTTTTGTGGACGGTTTATGCTTTTGGATGTTGAATGGATGTTGTTGAATAGTACTAGGANCCCAATCAGTATATGTTGAGTATATAGATCGTATATTTTCAGTTTATAGAAATTTTACGTATGGATTATTTATATTTTGCTCAGATGGCACGTATATGTTGAGTATATAGACAGTACAAAATATTCAAAATATGATTTAAAACAAGAATAAATTGATTTGTTTGTTGTTGTATATATGTATGGTTTATATACATAGTCCATTCATCATATAATGAATGAAAATCATCATAAGCGACTCCATCCACAAAAATATCAAAAACATATACCTTTAATATACCCAAACAAAACAATATATAACAGAAGATGGAGTATATGTTCAATATATGTTTTGTATATTAAAAGATTTTTTTGTATAGGGAATATAAGTAACATGTTATAGTATGTTTATAAACTAAATATATACTTTTATGTATAAAAGTAAAAAAAAAATAAAAAAAAAAAGAAAGACATATTTTTTTATGGAAGACATGGTTTTCATTGCAACATATACTGAATATATACTCACATAAACGCAATATATACCACGTCGGGATTATTTACAGTTTGCACGTATATGTTGAGTATATGAACAATATATTTTCAGTTTATAGACATTTTATGTCGGGATTATTTACAATTGGCTCAGACGGCAAGTATATGTTGAGTATGTAGACAATATTTTTAGTTTATAGACATTTTATGTTTTCAGTATGCATTGTTTATAGTATGCATTTTTTTTATTTTTTTTTTCGCAATAAGTAACTTGTTATAATTTGTGTATAAAACTATATATATACTTTTTGTGAATGGATGTTTTGTTTTTTATGTTTTCAATGTTTTATTTATAGTTTATGTTTGGTATATTAGAAGATTTGTTTGTTGAAAACAAATTTGACAAAACATAAACTGATTTGTTTTTTGTGTACATGTACGATTTATATTCAATATATTTTCGGTATATGATAAAGAGATTTATCGCGAGACATAATTTTTATATTCAGTTTATATTCAGCATAAACTGATTTTTGTTGTTGTTGTGTATATATATGGTTTATATTAAGTAACCTGTTATAACATGTTTATAAACTATATATATATATATATATATATATATAGAGAGAAAGGATCATATGAGAATGACTCTTAATGCGAGAAATAAGAATATGTCTGGACCATGAGATCAAGCATATCAATGGTTCTGATGAAGTCAAATTATGGTCAATCATTAATGGCATTCTGGTAATTATTTGATCACATTGTAGTAAAAAATATGCATTTGACCAATAATTAAGGATAAGTTGGTCAATAAATATATCAGGTGGGACCCAATCTTCTCTTTTCTCAATATACATATATTATAGAAGTGGGACCCACTCATTAATTAATTCACTACCAATTTGTCTTTCTTCAACCTCTCTCTCTCTCTCATTTTTGCAGAACACGAAGACGCACACACGCACTACACACACACACACACACAGTTCCGGCAGGCAGACCGGCAGTCCGCCATATCGCCGCCGCCTACCTCCAACAGCCATCCGTTTCGAGTCCACTTTCCGGCCACTGGAGCTTCACCGGCTGCCGCCCCTGCCCTCCGCCTGTACCTGCGTTACCTCCGTCATCCAACGGTCTGCAACCATTCGTCGCCGCCGCCGCCACCACCACCAGTCACATTGCAGCCGACAAGAACCAAGTCGTTGCCACCAGTCGCAGCATAGCAAGCAGCCGGACGCCGGAGGCAAGAAATACTGACGACGTTGCAGACGCCGGCGGCGGGACGAACCACTCACTGGTCGTGTCGACTCCACAGCCCCTTCGGCGGCGAGACGAACCACCTGCCTGCGAGAATGGAGTACAGAAACCTAATTTTGAATTTGGGATTTTGGGCCTTATTATGAGAATTTGAAATGTTTAAGGGACATAATAGCAATTTTTTGAAAGTTTATAATACTACAATTTAATTTATGGGTTGAATATGTAATTTATGAAACATTTAATTGTTGCACAATATTGATCAATTCATTGCACATTACTATTTAGTTGATTGCACATTATTGATTAAAGCATTGCACATTAATGTTCAGTGCACTGTAATTCATTAATAGTTTAATATACAGTTATTTAGTACAATTGTTGGTTATTTCAATTAATTGGGTCAGTTATTCGATTAATTCAACCGAAATAACTGAATTAATTTATTATGTATATTTATAATATTGTTTTTGATATTATAAAATTAAAAGTAAAAAATAGATAATTGTTAAATTTCGAATCGAAAATTTTGGTCTTGTTAATTGTGGTTGCTATTGTATAAAAAATATACAAAAATAATATTTTTTTAATATCTTTTAGTTTTTATTTCAATTATTTAAATAAAAAAATGGCATCATACCGATATTCCCGATATAATAATAATAACAAAAAAAAAAAATCGGTCTTATTTTTCATATATGTTGACATGTCCGGTTATTTTGTTTATTTAAAAATAACTAAATCCGACATTAACCAATTAATATTATTTGATCGATCATTAGAATTACCGTAATTTTAGTACGTGGAACGTGTTGTGTTATAAAGTGCAACGTATTGCTGTATAAAGTGCAATATATTGATATATAAAGTGCAATACTTAATTTCTGGTATTTTAAGAGGATGGCGATTTTTTTCTTTTTGTGGATATATGCTGTAATGGATAGTAAAGTATTACGTCACTCAATTTTTTATATTTATATTGCATATTTTGTGGCGGGAGTTGTTGACGTCGATAGTGAAGTGTGGTTATAAAGTGCAACGTATTGTTTTATAAAGTTCGATTTGTTGATTTATAAAGTGCAATATTCAGTTATATAAAATGCAATAATTTATTCTTTCTCATATGTATCCGAAAACTAGTTTTAATCCATATAATATTACATCTAATTAACCTAAATAATTAAAATGTCTTTTCATTTATTATTTTTATTATATAATTTATTTATTATTATAAATTATTTTAATATTTTATATTATATTTATTTAATGATTTATTTGTTACGTAATATATATGCATTGTTAACAAAGTATATAAAGAAAGTATATAACAATCATTTTTTATTAATTTTCATTCTTTACAGATTTGACCCTTGGGGTTAAATTGAAATATAATCAAATTATTAAAATTACAAATAGACCCTAGACTTAACCTAATTCTCAACAAAAAGGCACAACCTTCACACTTCAATTTCAGATCTTCACGTCCCTCGTCACCGGCACCACAGTGACTGAGACGCCGGACATGAAGGAATCTCCGATGGCGTCGGATATGATGGCGAATCTGGGCGGAGTTTCGTCCGAACTTTTGAACGGACGTGGTCCGCGAGGGAGATGGCCGACGGGACAGTGGAGTCGGAGATTTCCGGTGGTTGGATGGTTGCGGCGGCGACCGGTGTTCGACATGACTTCGCGGTGGAGGAGACGTCGGAGACGACGTGTTCAACGACGGGGATTCAGAGCTCAACTTCTCCGGCAGCGAGCAAGGCATCACCTAGCGGACTTTAGCGGTGGAAGTCGGTCAAGAGCGTGCCGGAAAAAATCAGAGCGACGGCAAAGACGTGAAGTCCGGCTGAGGAGCAACGGCGGCGGAAGGGTTGTGTGTGCCTGTTACTGTGTGTGTGTGCGTGTTACTGTGTGTGTGTGTGACGGGTTGAGTCCGGCTGAAGAGCTACGGCGGCGGGCGGTGGCAGAGAGATTCCGATGAATTGCGACGGGAGTGGGTACGGGTTTGCTGTGTGTGTGAGTGTGTGTGAGAGAGGGTGGGGTGGGGTGATTGATGGGGTAGTTGGCAAATTATTTACCGTGAATTAATATGCATTGGGACTCACATTTTTTTGTGAGGTGTAAAAATTACCACATTATCCTTCATGAAGGTATAATTTTGTATTTGTTTTAGCCATTAGATCATCCGATCTAATGACTACAATTTATTCCTATTTCTCGCATTAAGAGTCATTCTCACCGGATCCCAACCCTATATATATATACCTTTATGTATAAAAGAAAAAAAAAATAGAAAGACATAATTTTTTGATAGAAAACATGTTTTTCATTGCAACATATACTGAAAATATACTAACATAAACCTAATATTTACCACCTGACAGCTGCGTGAATTAATGAATTCAAGTTGCGCGAATTAACGAATTAAATGAGTCAGTTATTTTCTCTCTCTTAATCATGCTCATAAAAAAGGGGATGGAGGTGGAAAGGATATAGTAACTGACTTTAGGCATTAATATAGGTAAATAAGGTCTTTTAGGTAGAAACATAATTATTTCAACTTTTATGATAAAGTTGTAATTAATTTAAAATCAAATACCATAAATAAAAATTTCNGAGCGTAACCCCACCAGCCCAGTGTATATCAGTTCAATTATTAGGGGAGTTGAATCATCTCATGGCCCAACGTCACCGACTCCAAAAATTTATGCAATTCATTATATATAATTATATTTGAGACTTAGAACCCAATTGCTATTGCTTATCAATCATATGTTGATTGGAATAATCAATTGGTACTGTCCAACTAAAGAACAGGCGCTAGGCGGTCGTTTTGCTTTTATTTGATTCCAATAGTGCACTGGTGAATTATTATAATTTGAGTAAATAACAAAATATTTATAGTAAATATCTGTATAAACATAAAAAGGAAAAATAAAATATATCATTTAATCATCTGTCAGACTTTCTGAAAACGATAATATATATGCTAATGTTATGACTAAATTAAGGTTTCTTCGGCAGCAATATATATAACACATAACAACGTTTATCAACTCTAATCAACGAACACTACCTTAAAGTTTAAACAACAAAATAAATAAAATATTATCATCGCTAAAAAATTTAATAGTAGTCTCGAATCATGAAATGCCAATAGTTATTTTATATTAAAAAAAATATGATGTGAGAATTTCATCTTTTATACTCTAAAATTATGTTTTTAGGTTTTCGTGGAATTAAGATAAAAGATTTCAAGTTCATCATTATGTGTCAAGTAGACATATGGCGATATATGAACTAGAAATTATTTATAAATGAAAACTAATGAAACTTCTTGAAATATGTATTGAGATATTCACTGCAATTATATTTATTATATATTATTTAAAAAGGACAAGTGATTTTGTTAAAAAGTTAACTACCTAATACATTCTTATTTTAACATATTTTTAATTGCAAATTCATAATACATTAATATCCATGTTGTATTATATTTTAAATTATTAACTAATATTTAATGAATTGACATGAAAGACGAAATAACATGGTAAAATAATATGTACTTTCAAATTCATCCAACCAATATGCCCAAGAAAGGAATTCTAATTATAACATGCACATATGCATGTAAATCCAAATTTACTAATCTATATAATTTTTGTATGCTACATTTAAATTTTTATATATAGTTACGAACAAAAAATCGAGATATTTGTTGAAAATATTTTCAAATATTATTAAAATATTTACTATATGTCCAATATTAATGTAGAGGAAAACAATTCAGATCAATTATAATTAGAGTAGTTATTTCTAAAAAGTCGAATGCTTATAAATATTTGTTAATTTCTTTTTAAAACCCTTGGTAATGAAAATGATAACAAACAATAAATAAATGAAACGATAAATAAATTTTCCAAAACATTCAATATAGTCCAAATTTTCTATTCGCACATCAAATGAAAGTTTCATGCAGCAAGTTGAAGCCCACCATTAGAAGAAGTCATCAAAGGCTAGCCTCCACCAAACTTTCTTCTTTCACACACTATTTGTTAACAATGGTGTGCTTGATTGTATCTATAAATAGGTTGCTCATTTCATTCATTCAAATCATCCTAGAGTGTGATCAATCAACCTTGAGAGTGTTGAAACACAACCAAGTAGAGTTGTGGAGAGTTTGAGAGTTTTTTTTAGAGTTTGTAAATCTCTTGTTTTTATTCTTGTGAGTAATAGAAACTTATTTTCCTCTCGATTATGATTATGATCTTGGGATGATACCAGAACAAGTGGTATCAGAGCTTGGTTTGAAGCTTTCGAGCTTAATTTTGAAATTTTTCGAGATTCTATGGAAATTTTGAGTTTCTAAGTTGTGCTTGAAATTCAATTCCGAGAACACTGTTAGATTCGTCTCGTTGAGACGGTCACGGCGGTATCTTACGGGCGTAAAACGAACATCGGAGCTATCCGAATTGCCTTCTAAAGTTC